ATATATATAATTTCCACTCTATAATAAAAATGTAAGAATGTAATGAACATGTATATATGTAATTGCAGTGGTTCTCGGGTGCAAAAGATTGCAGGAAGCAGAACAAATGCAAATTAATGCAAATAAACTTCAACTAACCATAATAAATGCAAATAAATAGGCTTATCGACTTTTAAAAGGGAGCAGAAAATGCTTCCCATAGCTTTTGTTGTAGATGTCAAAGTTAAAGGGTTTATTTAACACTCCAGTATTTTGATGCATAAAGGTTTATAAGCATTAATAAAGTTTGATTTTAAAAATGTCTGTATTGACATGTTGTACAATAAACTACTTAATATGTTGGATCATCACTAAAATCAGTTAAAGTCAGTTCAGAAACACTGCAACCAAGTGAGTGCTCATGGCCATCAGCATGTGTTACACTTGCGTCAAAGGTGAGACCTTATCTTTTTGATGGCATCTCGCAGGGTAACTATGTAGAAGAAAATGCTTGCACGGCTATTGCTGTAGATGCTGTTGATGGTTGCCATGGCAGCACCAATATGCTCCTCTGAAGCACAGATCACCACAGGAATGTCAGTGTCCATCGTTTTCTTGTCCTCCACACCCGTTTTGGCCCCATCTTTCTTGAGCACTTCATAGACCGCAATGAGATCAACATAACAAACTGAGTACATACTTGGGTATCAGTACCCTGCATGTGTACCTGAATACTTGGCCAGTGTCTGTAGTCTGGTCTTTTCGTACAGGAGAGCAAAAGCCACCAGGATTAGCAGAATTGAGGAGCTCACGATTGACTGGCAGAGAGAGAGAGAGAGAGAGACTATAGAAAATCCTGCACTGTGCTGCATATATGAAAAAAGTGACCACTAGAGATCACTGTAAGATGATGTGTGAGGGATGTTAGCAATAGCAAGCAGCAGTAGCCAGCATGGCTCACCTGCTGAACACATTGTGCTGTGTCCTGGTTGGGAAATGTGTCATTTCAAGCCCAGTCTTAAGGAGTTTTTTTTCTATTTAAGAGTTTAAGACAGTGTATTTGTATGCATTTTAGGAGGACTCTTTATTGGTGAGGGCACCACATCATGGTCCAGTTTTTCATTTTTGACGTGAGACCATAGTCTGGACTATTTTTGATTGTTCCTGGTTAGGAAGAGTCTGGTGTTTGTGAGCTGTGGCGTGTTTTCATTACAAGAGGATGGATTGTTAATTTGCTATCAGCCAACTTCAGCTACAGACAGTGTTTGGAAATTGATGCATTACAGATAAGACTTTCACATGACGAAATCCTACAATCTTATTTGGCTATATGTACAGTAGCTGTATTAACCTGAATTGAATATTTTTTATTTCATATTTAATAAATCCATTGATTTGAAATCCCTTTTGACTACTGTACATTTTTGACAATATATACATTAGTTATGTGGTGACTGCATCCATTTCAGATGTATAATAACTGTTTTTCCCAAAGACTTAAGTTATAGTAGCTGAAAAGTATTTAAAGTGAACTAGATGTATTGTTATAGATCAGGGGTGCATCCTGTTCCTAGAGATCTACCTTCCTGCAGAGTTAAGTTCCAACCCTGATTAAACAATCCTGTCTGTAATTATGAAGTGCTCCTTCAGATCCTAATTAACTGGTTCAGTTGTGTTCGGTCAGGACCAGGTTGGGCACCCCTGTTGTAGATTTATAGTGTGGGCTATGTGAGGGCTGCCCGTGCAGGGCCAGTACTAAGGGGCCAACGTTTTGCCAAATCTCAGAGGCCCTGCACTGGGGGCCCTTAGGCTAGCCCTAAGTGGGCCCGTAAAGGGCCGGTGCAGGCTTGTTTGCAGGGACTGTTCTAATTGTTAATATTAAAGGGTTAGTTCACCTAAAAATGAAAATTCTGTCATTAATTACCACCCCGTAAGACCTTCGTTCATCTTGATGGAATCTGAGAGCTGTCTGACCCTGCATAGACAGCAATACAACTGAAATGTTCCCAAGTCCAGAAACGTAGCAAGGAGACCTGTAAAAAAAAGTTCAACCGTCATTTTACGAAGCTACGAGAATACTTTTTGTGCGCAAAAGGAAAACCCCCCCGACTTTATTCAACAATTCGTCTCCTCCGTGTCACCCCGTAGTGCCATTTTGGAGAGTATCCACTGGACGTAAACCGCATATGCTGTTCTGTGTCAGCTGCGTCACACGGATACGCTGTTTTCGTTCAGATCAAATCACAACAACATAGGAAACAGATCCGGCATGAGGCAGCTGTCAATGTGTTCCGAAGATGAACGAAGGTCTTACGGATCTGAAACGACATGAGGGTGAGTAATTAATTACAGAATTTTCATTTTTGAGTGAACAATCCCTTTAACTTAAAAAATATATAAGTTACATTTATATATAATACATAAACACAGTATATAGCACATAAACACAGATCGGACACCTGTTTTTTAAAAGTAAAATACATAATTAAAAATGATAAACGAAAAAATATATACAACAACATCAACTAAATTTAAGATGTGACTATCCTTCAGACAGATAATGTTAACTTATTGCTAAAGGCAACACTTTATATTTTCACTAATCACATATTTTTATTTAATGTACGGTGTACTGATATATCCAATATTTTGATTTATAGCTATTCGTTCGTCCATATTCATGCACTATTACATAATAGCCTAACTGTATATGTCATTTGTTACATTTAACCTTAATTTAATAAATGTCTTCCTTTCTTTTGTTAAGATTACCCAAAATAACACTAACCTTGTAGAATCAAGAGATGATTGAGTTTCTTCATTTCTTGAGCGCCGTAAGATAAACCAAACAATGTCGCAAAAGGTTTTCAAGTCTTAACAAAAACGGACACAACAAAGATAACCAAATATCACTGATAGTTATCATAAAAAGAGGTGAGTCTGTATGTAAAGGTTAGCGGTGGGCAAGGGGTAAAATAAGAGGAAAAACACGCTTGTCTTTGATTTACACTGAATTTACCACAGTTTCCAGTTTAATTCCCAGCAGTCGCGCGGTGAAGTTCATTTAATCTGTACCGCGCGCGGTCGCACTGCTGCCTTTCCCTTATTTATCCTCATGAGACCCAGCTAAGCATTTTTTGTCCAGATGTCTTCTTAATATTTCTGAAATCCACATACTCCACAGTGTCGCATCTATAACTGTCTTACAGGGGATGTCCCGACCTTGTCCCCTTTACCAGAGGTGGGTGTGGCCAATACGTTAATATATGACAATATAACGCTACTTTAACTATATATAACTATTATACAATAATTTGACAATTATATAACATTATAATTACATAGTCATAACGATATGTTTGTATATGTATGTATATATATATATATATATATACATACATACACACACACAATTCACAAAATTATAGGACTAATGTGTTATATTCCTACATGATTAATCACATATATAGTTATGTATCTAATTAATAATCATTTGATTACTACACATACACATATATATATACATAAATCATTATTTACCATTAATTAATGTATATTACAAACAGTTTGAAGAAAAAACAACAGTGAGACTGCACCAGATCTGACCAAGATTTACTTGTCTGCGCAACATATATATATACACACACACATATGATTACAAATTCTCAAAGAATGGCATACAAGTCACCTGTCTTGCAGAAAAATCTGTTTTAAAAAAAATTACTTCCCCCCCGTCTGATTCTCAGTCTTCCCACACGTCAACTGTGGTCCTAAACACATTATTAAAGGTTACATAAACTATGATCATGCTTGTTCAAAGAGTTAAACATCAAAAAACCCTTTGGAAAAAAAAAATTACACTATGAATATATACTATACAGTGCAAAACTTAAGTTAGTCTAATTACACACTTTGTCTTCATGTAAAACTATATGTAGGAATGATTCTCAGTCTTCCCACACGTCAACTGTGGTCCTAAACACATTATACATTAGTGTTCCTCAACTATTGTGTCGTTCACAACAGCTGTAATACTGTGGTTATCGAGGGCTTGAACAGGTCCTTCTAAAGCTGCCAGAAAAACCCGGAAAAAGACACGCTGCTTATTCTCCACCTAAAAGCAGTGATGCCAATGTTTAGGGTTTTCCAAATAGGGCAAGTCACAATGTGGGAGAACCTGTAAAATGAAGTAACGGGGGGAAAAAACACTTTGGTAATGGGAATTGTATTTTTTTAGGAGTACTAAAATGGTTACGGAACATACTTAAAAATAAATGTAACTGAAAAAAATTAATAAATAATAAATCCAGAGGAGATTTGAGTTATCCACAAATGTGAACTTTGCAAAATCACCCCAAAAGACACAAAGGCAAAAGGCCACTTAAATGTGGTGTTTAAAGTAAAGATAACAGCATGGCGACGTTGATGGGCAGCTCTATCCTTTCATTGGTATAGGTCATGGATCTGACCCGTTCAGGTGGAGAGAGCAGGAAGGCTGTAGGTCCCACACGCTGCTCCGCACAGGTCAAACACAGAACGCCGCCCGCGTCCATGCTGTCCATCTGAAACACATTCATTTAATCAATACAGGAAGTGAGTTTTTGAACCTACAAGAATTGCTGAAAATGTACAATGTAGAGGAGTTTGTTTCTTCATCAGAACAGATTTGGAGAAATTTACATCAATTGCTCACCAATGGATCCTCTGCAGTGAATGGGTGCCATCAGAATAAGAGTATAAACAGCTGATAAAAACATCACAATAATCCACACAACTCCACACAATAATCAATTAACGTCTTTTGAAGTGAAAAGCTGCATGTTTGCAAAAATTTTTTTTTTTTTACTTCAAACCATTGCTTCATGCTAAAATATGAGTCCTCTATGTATAATATTGCATTCTCCAGAGAAAAGGCCTGAATCAGGAGAGAAATATGCATGGATCAAGCACCATTTACAAGTGAAAACCGTCTAAAGGTACCTCCTCAGTGACTGCTTTTGTACCTTTTTTCCTGAGAATGTACAGGATCTCTAACATACTAATTATATACACGATTTCTTAAAAGATCCATTTCAGAATTTATATTAATAAATAAGTGCACATGAGTCAAGATATTTCAATTTTTTATGCCTATTTTTTAACAGAATATCTTATTGACTGGTTAAAACTGATGGCACATGCAGTCGAACCCACAGAAAGTGTCCAAAGATTTCAGATCATCAGAAATGTACACTCTTGATCTACCAGATGTGCAGACGATCACTTGGCTAAAGCCCAGATGGACTTTGACGCTCAGATACAGAGGCTGTATAACTGGTAAGAGCTGGGCTTTATTTAATTATGTGCAATTGTGTGTGTATATATATATATATATATATATATAAAAATACACACACACACACACACACACACACACACAGAGTACTCAAGAAAACATACATTCCTAAAGAAATGCCACAAACCTGCATTGAAACCGCCCACACTCTGCAGGTTGTGTCGTCCACACGGTACTTTCATGAAGTCATCCGTCACAACCACTGCGTCAAACTCCAGGCCTTTTGCCTTATGCACCGTACCAAGGATAAAATCTGTCACAATCGGACACAAAGGTATTCAGCTTGTTTATGAGGGCTGTATGCATACAGTGATTTTACTGCATGCCATCATTGTGCATTTCTCAAAAACAGTACTTTATTTGACTTCTATCTCTTTATTTCGGTCTCACTCACCTGCACACACTGCGCTTTTCTGGGCACGATCATAGATCCGTTTGACCAGCTCTGGAATGCGTTTGTTGTATTTTTCCACCACGGCTAGCTTGGCCTCCAGCTCTCGGTCTTCCGAGGCCATGGCGTATCCCTTCAGACCTCTGAATCCGCCCATCTTATCTTTGCAGAAACTTCGGATGAAGTAATCCTTGATCGCAAGGCTCTCTAAAGTAGAGAAACAAATCCAAACAAAGCCAACTTAAAAAAAACAATTTAACAACCATCAGTTTCAAAGATCCAACAAGGTATTAATAATCTGAATAATCTGAAATAGCTTTACAGATAAGAAACAAACACTACAGAAACCATTGCGAGCAATCCAATTAGGATATTTTGTAAGACATTGAGACTAAGGTTATAAAACGTTCAAGCTAAAGTGACTCACCATTCTTGCGTTTGTCCTCTGGCTGCATCAGGACCCAGAGATCCATAATTTTGTCCAGTCCAAAGTTTTCAACACCCTGAAATCAGACGTTGGCCATTTTTTAAAGAAATACTGACCATGTTTTATGCAACTTTTTCTGACTGAAAAACTGCATAAAACAACAGAATCAGACATTCAGAATATATCTGAGGTTTAAAATACACATTAAGATAATTCATTACCAGGTAGGAGAAATGTTTAATGCACTCACTCCCACAATGTAGATCTTGCAGTTGGGGTTGACGTCTGTGAGTCGGACAGCCTCGCTGAAAACAGTGACATTACAGCGGCTCAGAATGGCCACGCTCCCTTCTGGCAGCCTCTGTCCCAGCTTCAGTTGTTGCAGTGTTTGTGTGTCCTCCCCTCGTACACTCCCTGAAAACATGCACATAGCAGTTTTATTATTGCCAGGATCATACTTCAATAAAATTTTACTAAATATATCTGAGAATTTACCACTATTAATATTTGCAAAAAATATAATAATCAAAATTGCCCAAATATAATTTCTTAAACTTACCTTCCTGATTCCCACCAACCAATATCTGCTTCACTTTTTTACAACTGTCCAATACTGCAGCACCAACGTATGCGATTTCTGATCCAAACCTGAAGCTCTGTGAAAAATATGAGTGGTGATATTAGAAAATATTTACCGTTTATCACACTTCCTCTACAAATATTATCTGTGATTTCCTTTTCCTGTGTTTTTGTTCGTACCTGTGTGAGATAGTAGATGTGTGTGTGAGCAACAGCATGTAAAGCATTAACCGCTCCTCTGAAAGTGTAAATCTGTTGATGCGGATCTCCAACCAGGATTTTCCCACAGTTCTGAGAGAGCATAATGCCCATAATAACTGGAAAATCAAAGACCACAAACAGAATACAAAATAAGACCACATTACAGTCAACAACACATTAGAGAAAACGAAAGGTGATTTATTTTAACCTGGTGTGCAGTCTTGAGCTTCATCAATAAATATGGCATCATATCGGTCCAGCTGTGGTCTAGACAGCTGCCAGAGTTTGAGGTATCCTGTTTACAACAATCAAAGGAAAAACAACATGAAACTTAGATAAAACATCTAAGGAAAATAGGAAAGCAGATTTTGGGTTTGTTGATGGGACTTGCTATTGTGATTGAGCATGAAAGGAAATTAGCTGAAGCTCATGTATTTAAATATCTGATAAATCCAGATTTTGGTGATTACCATCATGGGTCATGTTGTACACTCTCTCTTTTCTGGACTTCAGCTCTACCATTTGGTCCCATAACTTTTGTGCGAGACCAGCAAATGTCTGGAGAGAAAGAGATTTATGAATGTGTTTTTTGGTCACAAAAACTGCCATTGACAAAGGAGTGCAAAGACCCAAATAGATCGTGATATGCATTTTACAATTTGGTAACACTTAATACAACATTTCCACAGGCACAAACTACATCCACAGATGTAAACTGATATAACGTGTGTCTTCCCGTTACCGTTTTTTGGTGGTCGTCTGGGTATTCTGGCTGTCCGTGCGTGTTCTTGTACTTATATGGAACATGTTGTGGACCAACGTGCTGGTCTACGGATGCGCAGAAATTGTGGAAGGTTTGCGTCACCACTTTAGCATTGACGAATCCCCCGTGTCCTTTAGGCAAGATCCACGCCACATCAAACACTTGCAAATTACTGGACAGTTTCCTCATGTTTTTATACCTGTATAGCAGAAAAGACACATAAATGATTCTGGTTATAGCTCACTGAGAACATTATTCATTCTTTAAAAAAGGTGCTTGATTGCATGGTGAATGTTTCTCTGCCGACTGGCCCACAAATACAGTCTAAACTGACCTCACTCCCACAGATCTGAAGGCCATTGAATGGACGGTACTGCATTCAACGTTGTGTGGAAATGAGCGCTGAGCTTGCATTGCCACAGATTTGTTGAAGGCCAGGTAGAGGAAGCGCATATGTGACCTTTGCTGAGCATACTTCACGAGTGTGGTCGTCTTTCCAGTGCCTGCAAAAAAAATAAGAATGGCATTACATGCAACTCAAACACTTTCAGCTGCGAAATAATCTAATGATCTTTCCTCACCTGCAAAAGCCATTATTTTAACAACGTGATGATTCTGGATGTCGTGGTTGAGTATCTGCTGTTGCTCATGAGTGATTTGCTGCCTGAGAATGAAGACGGTGACGATCATTATAATTGTGTCAGATATTATAAATTATTTCACAATTATAACATATATTATTTGTAATTAATGTATACACTTCTGTTCAAAAGTTTGGGGTCAGTAATACTTTAGAAATGTGCTTCTTATGCTCACCAAGGCTGCATTTATTTGATCAAAAATATAGTAAAAACAGTACTATTGTGAAGTATGATTACAATTTGAAACATCTATTTTCTATTTTAATATGAAATGTATTCCTTGATAGCAATGCTGATTTTTCAGCAGTTCAAAAAGTGCAACAGAACAGCATTTATTCGAAATACAAATATTTTGTAACATTACACAAAAAAAAAGTACTGACACTAAACCTTTGAACTGTAAATAATACACAAATACAATATCAAAATTTGATTCCCACCTGTTGTCTTGCAAGCCCACAGGAGGAGGAGCGTTCTCCATTAAGTGCAGCACATAGAAGATATTGTAATGCCACCTAAATAAAGGTTTAAAAAGTGAAGAATCATTTAAATCAATCTGCAAAATACATAACATTCTGTACTAAGTTTTTGCATTTATTTGGCAAGTCACATGACCGGAAAATCATGATGTTTAACTCCTCAACTGCTATAAATAAACATCTGATTGTAGTGCAGAGGTTGCAGCCGCTTATAGAAAAAGCACTTTAAACTGGTCTCTCACCTGTTGCTTATGTTAATATTATTCTTTCTCATGGCCAGGAGCAAAGTCGCCACAGCCCACAGGTACTCTGAGATTCCTCCTGCTGTCAGCAGACACCCAGACTTCCGCAACAGAGCTACCAAGTCCAAGACATCTTTCACTCCGTCAGCCAAAATCAACATCAGGGCCATGGCAGACCAAGGGTTTGGACTCTGTAATACATGTCGATTATTGGTTAAATATAAAAAAAAATCAAAATAAAGTGGAACTGGATGCACATTATAATGCGTAAATACAAGCTACGCATGTTGTTGCAACATAAACTAGTAGTTGCAGAAATTGTTAACTGTGATATTTCATTACCTCATCATCCACCATGTCTGGCATTCTGTCTTTGATGCAGGCTTCAGCATGAGCGTAGAGCTGATGTCCTTTCACACACGCCAACACGTCCTTCACATTCACCCTTTTGCTGTGTTTGAATTGAGACATGTACCTAAAAAAACCAATGAGATTTTCAACACACAATAATATACATCTTATTAAATTAGCAATTTTTTACCATATTTTGCATTTGAATTCATTCTTACTGTATTCTTTTGATTTTTATGTTGCCCTCTCATTTTATTTTCCCAACCATTTTCTATATCTATTCACCTTATTTAATTCTCTGTAGTGTAATTGGGCTCTATTAGTACTTTAACAATATTTATGTTCTCAGTCTTGTTAGTGATGTGCTTTGTTGACTCTAAACTGACCAATCTCAGCAGATCATTAAGCTACAGTTGACGACCCCCCCCCCCCCCC